GAGTAAATGATTAGGAGGGACATTTGTTAAATGATTCATATTTGATAACTTTAAATCCCAGGATACACTCATGCATGCAGCTAGCCACTGTCAAATAGAGGCTATAATGTTAAGTGTTTTGTGTTCCTACACTACTTAATTTGGATCAGCAAACACTGCCCCCACAGAGGTTTATATATTTAAATAAAACAAAGTTATTTGATGATGCCACGCTGGATTACTGACACATTCATAAACTACAGGACGTTTTGCCAGTGATGGTGTGGGGAACTCCGGGGAGGTCAAACATGGCTGTAAGTAAAAAGTTAAAAGATGATTCAAATAGGAAAACTGTTGCTTTTGGATGAGAAGAGTTGCAAATACAACTGTAGTGCATCAATTCATAACTAATTAAGCCTGTAATATAATTTTGTGAACTTATATTTATGGATGTGATGTGATATTTGTCAAGCATAACACAGACATATTTTTAAACACTTTGCTGATAAGCAATTTTCATAACAAACAGCACCTTTTTAAAGAGCAAATGGAAAGTCGTGTGCATGTACAATGAAATAGCTAAGCCTGTCAAGATCTCAGTGTGCAGTTGCTAAACCAAAATAAGTGTGGCGGACTGTCTCTGAGCATTTGCAACAGCATGAATATCTAATTTTAGCCTTTGGAAGTCACAGTTTGCTGCATAGAATTTGTGGAGCAGCGGTCTGTCAGTTTGTTTGCTAAGGCTGCTTGTTTGGAAAAAACACACCTATAAGACACGATCTGTCAAAAGCACAGACTATGACGAAGAGTTATTCTTGAAAAGCCCGAGAACACCTGCTGAAACAACATCCCAGAACAATTGCAAGCTCCTCTGTTATAGGTAGGTTATATAAAAAATCTGGGGTATTTCAAAAGGAATCCATCAGGATTCAGGAGCTAGGAGACTGATAACATTTTATTTTTAAACAAGTTATATAGATGTTTGTGTGTGTGTACGCGCATGTATAAGGACAAAATGTCCATGTTGTTCCCAATACAGATCTTAGGACCAATGTTAGAGTTTTTAGAAAATGTTTGAGCCAATTAATTTTGAATGCTTAGTACAAAGCTTTAAAATCAAGACAAACCATTAATCTTTGGTTTTAACAGATAGGCTACAGATTGCGTGTTCTCTTTTTGTCGACGTTACGTGAACGCAGCGCAGGGAGCAGAGCACACGTCAGTAGCAACCAGGAAGTAGCTAGTTAGCTAGCAACGGAGAATGAGCAGCTGAGACTCTGGAATTTTGACAGGTCAGTAACCATTTCCTCAATGAACATTACGCTAGAATATGACCTGACCCCATATTTTATTAGCTGCGGACTAATTAAAGTATTTTTATATTGCCACAGTTGATGGTTATCGCTAAAACTAAAGAGAGCATTACTGGCACTGCTAGCGTGCAGTCTGTAGGCAACGTTGCATTGCCAAGGCATAGTAGAGAGTTACTCATTGTGTTCTGGGTAAAACCGATAAAGGTGATTTCTACTCTCTGTAATGTGAAGACGCTTTGAGTTTAATTTATCAAGACGGTCGCCATGTAAAAACGCGTTTTCTGCTATCATACACCCAGTAAGGTTAACGTTAGCTAGACCGCAAGAAACTCGTATAGGGCTCACAACAGGAACAATGAGGACGAATTGCATCTGATAAATATTATAATCGTTATGGCAAATTTGGTCTTTCTTTTGTTTTAAATTTATTAGGTATACCTGGCTAAAATCAGTGCAGGCCAATTAACCAGCGTGTCATAAATCCTATCTAATCAGCAGGTGCAAATTTATTCTTCAAGTAATGAATTGGTTGCTTTTCATTTCTAAGCAAAAGAAATACAACTAGGCTGTATATGTGTATGTGTGTGTATCTGTGGCCAGTTATTTTATGTTGTGGTGACATGAACCTGTTTACACAGTCACACTAGGGGAATTCCACGTCCTTATAGGTACAAAAACCAAGTTACCAAAATGTAAATTGTTAAATTTGAGAGTGATGACTTGGTTTAAAGTTAGGGTGATATTAGGTTAGGGGTCAGGATTAGGATTATCCAAGTAGTGGTTATGGTTAAGGTTGGAGTGAGTCTCCAGGAAATGAATAGAAGTCAATGTAATGTACCCTGAACTGATGGAAACACAATGTGTGTGTGTGTATTGCAGCACAAAAATACTAAAGTAAGTTGGAGGTAATTTAAAACAGTGTCACCATTACCATGGGCAGGTCATGAGACAAAGTCATCCTGGGTACAGATGTCAAAGCCCCCACTTCCCCCACATATGAGCAAGACCCACAGACGGAAAGAAGCACAAGTTATTTTGTGCCTCTTCATGGTCATTTTATATAGTTTGTACTTGTTATCTATTTATTTCAGTTAGTTTTGTTTTTACTCTGTGTTCATAAATACCAACCCCCCTCACAAGGGGGTTGGAGCCAATTCCAGCTGACATTGGGTGAGAGGTGGGGTACAACGTGGACGGGCCGCCAGTCTATCACAGAAAATGATACTAATACCTTCAAATGTCTTCCTGCTCCCTTGTCTCCAGCTTCAGAAGGGAAGGATGGGCAGACAGAGGAAGAGGGTGGTGACTGGTGAAGCTGTTCCCCTTCCAAGGAAAGATGAGAAGCCTTCTGTATTTCACCGCAAGGAGAAGAAAAAGAAAACTGATATTGGCAGAGTCTTCATCAACATCTCCATTGGCCTTTGCATATTCAGCCTGATCTGGTTCTTTTATGCCCTCTACATGCGGTCCAGCCTGGCCAAACGGGTGGTGACCCTGCACCCTTCACCTCCTGTCCTGGATGCCCATAGCAGTAGTGCCAAGGTTTCCCCAGAGAGGTTCTGGGGTTCATACAGGCCTCAGGTATACTTTGGCATGAAAACCAGGAGTCCCAAGTCAATTGTGACAGGTACAGCTACACATTCAGAGTCAAGCTGGAGCTGATAAACACATTTGTGTTGGGATGGATAAGTTTTCACATTGAGATGTGACATTTTTGTAATATTGTACTAATGCGACATAACTTGGTAGGATATGAGTAGATCACACTGAAATCTACACATATCACATGCAGATACCACATTCCTATGAGTCAGTCAATAATTAATGACAATGCGTTGCTGATAAAAGTTGTACATATAGAGACCAGGCAGTTGTTTGTCTGTTTTGTAGATAACTACTTTTCACTGTCAGAATCACACTAATGCTGGGGTTTTCAACCAGTGGTCAGCAGCCCCATGGTGGTCCATGAAGGCATTGGAGGTGGTCCCCTGGCCATGCAATCAATAATGCAGTTTTACTCTATTTTGAAATATGTTTCCATTTATTACATATTGTTTTTGAATAAAATGCAAAGATGTAATATTTAGAAAAGCCAAGGTGATTTTCAGTATTTAAATTGTGTTCATTTGGTCAATCCACCCCACAACAGTGGTCCTTAGGTTACTTCTTAGCCAGGATGATGGACCATGGGTCACAATTAGTTGAAAACCCATGCACTATTCTCTGAAATAGTTGCAAAAATACTGCCTAATTTCTGCTTCAGAGCATATTTTTCCTTATCTTCAATGTTTAATTACACTAGACTGTGGATAGGGTGGGAATTGAGGCCAAATACACACCATATTCAAGTAAAATTTGGTTGATCAATATTGTTAGTTGACAACACAAGGTGTACTATATTTTCTTGTGCTGAGTATGCAACAATAATTATGCACTGCTGTCCTGAAAACCCAGTTTGCTGGTGTCTTACTGCTTGTAGCCAGTGAGTTTTAGAAATGACTTTTTATGTGAAATAGTTCACTAGTTTTTATTTTTCACATTATGTACAATATATGTGCATCCTTTGTACTGTATAACCTAGTAATTACTTTCATTGTTGTATTTCCCCAGGCATGATGTGGATGCGTCAGTTTTCTGACGTGGACGTAAACTTGAGGCACACTTGTGAGCAGGGGGATCATTTGCAAAGTTATGGCTGGCTGATGCATGATGGCATCAACTTTGGTGTCCAGGAAATCCTGGACAGTGATTTCGCTCTAATCACAGAGTTTGTGAAGAGGATAGGTGGAGACCATGGAGGAGACTGGACCTGGAGGATCACTGCCAAGCAGCATGTGAGTACTAACTTTGTTTGATCGGTTCCACTGTATGTTGTGACTTTCCCTTAAATGCACCAAACAATTATGTTTAATAATTAATGGTGATATGTAATGTTTTCTTTCCATAAAGAGCTCCGCCCCTCAAGCGCCAGTCATCTCCCTGATGTTTTACACAGCAGCAGACACACAGGGGTCCCTGCAGGCTCACGTGGAAGAGGGAAAACGCCTGGCATCCATCACTGGTTTCTCAGAGGAGCTTGGAAACTTTAAGATCACCTTCAGAAAGCCTGTTACTGGGGGATTATCCACCACAAAATATGCCAGGTAAATGTAAAAATAAAAGAGTGAATGGTAAAGTCAGCAGCACTTTAAGAAATGATTTTGATCAGGAAAGGTGGAAGGAAAATAATGTATAATGAGTGTCCATGTGAAATTCTATTGGGATTAAAGAAAATCAGATAAGTCACTTGATAATTAGGGATTATCAACGGCATGCTTTGCGGTGCTGATTGAAATTGTTCACTTATCAATCAGTGAGGGTAGGAAAAGCCTTTTGTACATAGATGGCATTTGATGGAAAGGCAAGAAGAAATGCTTATAATGTATAGCAGTGATGATAAAAGATTTGTGGTAAGTTGCAGTGTGACTAAAGATCACATCTTTTAATGCAGAAAAGCATAATTTGACTGACAGAGGTCTGTTTGCACCTCTAGAGAGTCCCAGAATCAGTCCTTTTAGACACTGGATGATGCTCTGTAGTAATAACACGCTGGACCTGTGATCCTACATTACTACCAGGGTAGAGAAATGCAACCACTAGATGGCAGCAAAAAGCAGGATTTTCAACCTTTGTTTGATCACTTTGTTAATCCCAATTATTTCTCTGTGCTTTGCTTCCTCGGCCTGGACTGGTCTAGCACAGTTGTCAGTTAATCGGTGAAGATGTTTATTCAACTTCAGATAGAATTGTTATTGCAGTATTTGTTGTAGTGAGTGGATCAAGACTTTCTGCTATCTCTTTGCTACCAACGTTCACTGGGGACACCAATATTTCACACTTTTATGAAGACCAGTATAGCAAAATAGAATGGTACAGTATGCTCTGGTAGAAATGAAAAGAATTGAATGACCTATGATTTATGGTAGGCAGATGGACGATGAAGTGGGGGCTTGAAGTTTGATCTTACTGAATCAGTTGCTAAATGTATGAGTCATCAGTACCACATATGACTGGAAAAGACTATGATACCATACCGTACGCTAAGGGTACCTAAACATATGTAGCTTGTGCAGTTAAGACCGCTACGCCACTTTGAAGCTTTGCGTAACTTCTCATATGTCATAGATTTGAGGACATAGGACAGTTAATAATAGCCTCTTATTTTTTCAGTTACAACTATCTTCAGACAGTGTCTCCTGGTTTGGATAAGCTGACTGACATTGTGAAGCACAGTCTGAACCGCAGGTTTGTCTACAGCCTTCCCTCTGGTGAGAAGAGGCATTACATTGCTGTAGACACCTACAAGCCTCCCCACCACCAAAACCATCAGAAACCCGCTGACACAAGGAAAGAGAGTGACTTTGTAGTTCATCAAGTGACCATCCAGACACCATTCCAAATCGAAGTTCTGTTTGAGTCTGGGAGCTTTCACGATCGTCCTAACCAGCTTGTTGGCTCAATCATGACTCAGGAACTGGAGAAGAGGAAAGCTGAGTTTGACACAAGGTTTGAGAAGACGTTTGGACTTGAGAGCAAAGGTTTTAGCCAGGCCCATATTAAATTTGCCAAGGCAGCACTCAGCAACATGTTGGGTGGGATGGGCTACTTCTATGGCCAGTCGGTGGTGCAGTCAGTCTATAACGAGTACCCACTCCTGTACCCTGACGGTGCTTTATTCACTGCCGTACCATCACGCTCTTTCTTCCCCAGAGGATTCCTTTGGGATGAGGGCTTTCACCAGCTGCTGCTGAGTAAGTGGGATCCTCAGGTGACAAGGGAGGCTATTTCCCACTGGATAGACTTAATGAACATAGAGGGCTGGATCCCCCGTGAGCAGATCCTGGGAGATGAGGCTCGCAGTAAGGTCCCAGCTGAGTTTGTGGTTCAGCGGAATGAGAACGCCAACCCACCGACACTTTTTTTAGCTCTTCAGGAGCTCAATGAACAGCTTTCTGCTGATCCAGACAAAGCGGCATATCAAATGACCTTGCCTTTCCTCCGACGGCTTTTCCCCAGACTGAAAACCTGGTTTGACTGGTACAATACCACACAGAGTGGGCCCATACCCAACTCTTACCGCTGGCGTGGACGGGACAAGGACACCAATCTGTTCCTCAATCCTAAAACCCTGACTTCTGGATTGGATGACTATCCTCGAGCATCACACCCCTCAGAACATGAGCGGCATGTGGATTTACACTGCTGGATGGCCTTGTCCTCAGGTATCATGGCTAGTGTAGCTCGGCTTCTAGGTGAGCCTCACCAGGACTATGAACTCACTCACCAAGTCCTCAGCAACAACAGCCTGCTGAATGAGCTCCACTGGTCAGAACAACTCCGTGCGTTTAGTGACTACGGTAACCACACCCAATCTGTGTCCTTGCAGCAGGAGAAGGTGTACGTACCTCCTGGACAACCTCGTCATCAGTTCCCTGTGGCTCGCCTTGTGCGCTCGGTCCGCAGGGCCCCCAAGCTGCAGTATGTTAATGCTTTTGGTTATGTTAGCTTGTTCCCCTTCTTACTGCACATCCTTCAGCCTGACACACCTAAACTAGAATATATCCTCCGTGACATGAGAGACTCCAGTAAGCTGTGGACACCCTACGGCCTGCGCTCACTCTCCAAGGCCGATCCCCTGTATATGAAGCGAAACACAGAGCATGATGCCCCCTACTGGAGAGGCCCAGTATGGATTAACATCAACTATTTGGCAGTGAGAGCCCTTCACCACTACAGCAACATAGAAGGGCCGTACAAAGAGAAGGCAGCTGCTCTTTATGAGGAACTCAGGACTAACATTATCAATAATGTTTATAAGCAATATGTTGAAACAGGGTATATCTGGGAACAGTACAATGACAGCACTGGCAGGGGCCAAGGCAGCCACCCCTTCACTGGCTGGTCAGCACTGACAGTATTAATGATGGCTGAACGGTACTGATACTGTAGATTTAGTCTTGTGTTTCCTGAGATACTGGCCTTTGTTTTCTGGATGTGACTGAAACAACAACACGATCGGGTTTTAAGGCGTGGGAGTGTGTATTGCCAGGTTTATTTCCAGCTCAAAATAAATGTGGAAATGTGATCAGATATAACTAATCTTCAATTAACATCACAGGTTTCATACAGGTATTCTTTGAAGGGCAATTAAGTGCAGCTCCCCTGCCTTTGCTGCATGCGGAGCCAAACACTGTCTAGTGCTTCAGTTGTACTTGAGATGCCTTTTAATCAATGAAATCATATTCCTGACAGCTTCACACACCCGCACCTTCACTGCTTCATACTGCAGTCTTTAATATAGAAAATGAAAATGTTTTTCTTTAACATGCTTGGAATGGGTGGTCCCCCTCTCTGCAGGGTTCACACTTTCACGCTAGATACGAGGACAGTTTTAAATGAGCTGTTATCAGGTTTGTCACAAAATTAACAAGTTGCGCTTTCACTTGACAAATAAGGACCATGACCTTTAAATTGTGCCATTTTCTCTTTAAATATCATATGTACTTAATTCTCTGTCTTAATCATTTTGATATTTGTTTTATCTCAGTCTTTTAGAAAAAGTTCTATAAAGTCTTTCTCAACATTTATAAAATTACTGCTTCTAAAAGCAGCTGTATTTTGTACACAACCCGTGGTTTGACTGGCAGGGAATACAACTTTGACTGTGACATCAGGCTTGTTTTGTTAAAAACAATAAACGGCTTACTTTTTTTTTTGTGCGTGTGTATTTCATTTCCTTTTTTTTTTTTTTTTTTGATAATGGTGTGTTGTTCCCATTGATAGAAGCAAATTACTAATAGATCTAAGCCGACAGGTAAGTCTCTGCCTGAAATGCAAGAGACAGAATATGACCTCCCATCTCTGCCCTTACATTTGAGTGTGGTTGTTATGGCTCAGACCCTGACACGCTTTCACATTCTGAGCTTGTAATTGGTGATTTCTGAATACAAGATCTATCTATCCATCTATCTATTTTTGCTCTCGGCTGCTTTTGAATCTCTCACAAGTAAAACAGACCTCTCAATAACTGTCCTTGCTAACAGTGTTGATTAGTCCGTGTCCTTTATTAATGTAAACAACTGTGACGAGAAGTGCATTTAACTTTATTTTTAATATGGAACTTATTAATACAACTGTTGGTTGCTTCATGTTACACCACATACGTACTGTACAGTGTATATGGTAAACGCACATCAGTCTACATGAGTAGTTTTTGAACGTATACACGTTATGTTTATATCTTGGGTTAGTACAGGTGTTGATATTTCCAGTAGATTAACTTTGACCATGACAGTAAAGAGCCAGGGTATAATCTCATACTCTGTGTACAGCCTTAGAACTAGCAATTTGACAGATTCTCTTGCAATAACTAATTAGCCAAAACTGTGGCTTGCTCCAGCTCTAGATATTGAAAGAATATGTGTCCCTATTTAGTTTTGTATTGAAATTAGAGGATTATTTTTATTTGCTTTGTGTTAATGATGCCTCTCATGTTCAGCACAGATGTCAGAACTCTTCGGCCAATCAAAGCAGACAGTAGGTTCGACCTTACAGCCAGCCATGGGTGGATTACCGGGCATGGGCCCAATGGCCCGAGAGCTCAGGGGGCCCTGGGCCAGTGACTGTATTTCTTGTTTGAAAGTCATACACCGGGCAGCATGATGGAGCAGTGGTTAGCTCTGTCACCTCACAGCAAGAAGGTTCTGCGTTAGATAATGAATGGATGGAAGTCATACACCTCAGTTAAAAGACCATAAATAGATGAAAAGTGACCAAAAACAGATTCAAAATGACCACAGAGGCGCTACAAAGAGACACACAACTACCATAAAGAGATGCAGAACAACTATAAAAACAAATGGCAGATGGTACAGATGTTAGCTACAGTACTGTATATAGGAGGGGTGGGGGCGCCTTTTACCTTTGTGGGCCCAGAGGCCCATTTTCTTATAATCCATCCATAAGTGAAGCAGCCTGGTCCTCTTTCTTTTGACAGGTAGTACATTCAAAGGCCCCTAGCTGACGTCAGTCTGCTGCAACTTCTTTCTTTCTTGTTTTTTTTTTTTTTTTTATTTTGATTTGATTTGATTTAGTATTTTTGGTTTGGCTTGGTGCTTAATTAGCTTACATCAAAAGGCATGGAGTGTACATATAGCGGATGGCAAATTCTTTTCACTCCTTGACATATGCAGGCATAGAGTCACACACCGGGGCATACAGTGGCAATGTTCTTATTAATACTTTGACACTGGCAGTGAGAGCACTGGCTCGCAGTCGGTGTGCATGACCACCGGGTTCCAGCCTCTAGACTTTTATGAATCCTTTGAATGGGCTAGATGTGCAGTTGTATAGCTGAAGGCTTAGCATGGTGCATTAAGGTTGCATGGCTAAAAATAGTGCCTTTATCAGTTAGCAGAACAGGCTGCAAAGCCACAGATTGGTAGTCTCACCACATTTATCAGAAGATGCAGTATGTCCCTCCATTTGTCTGTTGAAGAAAACTGTAGATACTATAAATTACCAGCAATATGAATAAATACTAGCTTGGTGACTGTGTGCATCTTGCAAATCGATCTTTTAGCATGACCCCCCCCAACGCTGTTAAATGTTTTCTTGATTGAATTGTTTTGAGATTGGATCTCGGAATCTAACTATGATGTGTAAATGTGCAATGATTGCCTTCTGGCTCAGTTGTAGGGGAGACAAGCTTATCATGTGACCCTTTGACTTGTTAACGCAAAGCAGGGTATCAAGGGATTTGGACACAGATGAGCCATATCCTCTGCCTTTTGCTGCTTCTCTCAGAGGAAATGGATTCCACATCCCCTCAATGCAACTACAGTTGAAAATGCATTTATTTCTTTGAAGAGTGCGGACAATCTGTGTGACTAAAGCACTCACTGCGCAATCCATCCCCCTCACCCAAGACCCTTTTTTCACAGTGAGATGGGATAATAGCCAAACAGCATCGGAACTAACTAATGTGTCTGCATAATAAACAGATGAGTCAGGGAGTACTCATTTGCATATCATTCTAACCTTATCAGAGCTTCTATATAGTTAATATTTTGTGATTGCCGACTACCTGCGAATTGGCTAGTGAGTGCGGTGCACATGGAGTGAATGCTGTGTCCAAACGGCTGCTGCTCAGTGTTGAAATAGAATATTTTTATGATGGAAAATATTATGGATCTGCAGAGTAATTAAAGTTGTCTAATAGTCACTAGAAATACCCCCCTGTAGCTCTGACTGCTGTGTTGAATGTAATTACTGGGAACTTATGCTAGAGGGAGCTAATTAATAAGGCATTTGTGAGTGGAAAAGAGGCTTTTTGAATACAGCTTAGCTATCATTTTACTTACAATGGAGAGCTACTTAGAATTAAAGCAGTATAAGTGGATAATTATGCTAATGGCTCAATTTGGATCTAAGATATGGTGGCAGGCTGTATTTCTAGGTGATCACTGCTCCTGAATTACAGCAGCTCTCACACAGGTTTTATATGCGTATGTGGGCTTGTATGTTCATATGATCTCACTGGAGATGTGAGATGTTTTGTCCTGAGGCCTCACGATAATATCTTTGTGTTGTGTGTTCTCCTCTGACCCAACTTATTTGCCTCCCATACAAATAAACAAGACTTCGAACTCCTGGTTTCTGTGACGTACTGTATGCATTTGCATGTGTATTCCTTGAGCCTCATGGCTCTGAAGTGTTTCATGTGTCATTTTGTGATGGAACTCCAGCTTTGACATCACTGCCCTCCAAGGACAGTGTAATAGTTTGTTACAGTTTGTCCTCCCCGGCATTACAACAGCAAGCCTTCCTCTCTCTGTTTAATTCTGCTGCCATTGGCATCATCATTCACACTGGCCTAATTGCTGTTTATACTTCATGTCTTTCTGTAAAACACCCTCCAGGATCCAGCATCTCCAGTTCTCTGTACCCCACCTTTGCCCCTTGAAGCTTGCTGTTGAGCACCAACTCAGCCAACATAGGTCTATGTATGTTATGTAAGTCCCACTATAAATAGGTTTACCCGGGATCTTTTGTCTTTACCTGATTCGCTCTTAGCCCAACAGTTTTTATTTCTGGAGAGAGCTGTGGAAGCTAGTGCAATGTAGAGCTGGCCGTTTCCATAGTTACTTTTGTTAGCTGCAAGCTCTTAAAATTCTTCATCTGTTTCCTCACATGTCTGCTGTTAGCTATTTGTTTGAATCTGTTTGCACTGCATGTCCCCGTAATGACTGTATGTGCATCAATAAAGCAGCGATGGAAACAGTGGTTTCCAATTATTAACGTTCGTATCTTTTTATACATGTTGTGGTGTCACTGGATGGAAGAAAGAGCAACAAATAGAAATCAGTGTGGGTGCAGATGAGTCAGACACTAGAATATGTAGACCTATTAACTTCTGCTGGTCAAAAGTACACGCAATTAGTCCGATGCTGCGTGATAGTGATTTTGTGTAGTGGATGTTATTGAGTTAGAGGCTAAGGGGATTGTTGTTGTATCTGGTAAAACAAATAACCTATATATTTTCAGTTTGTCGTAATTAGGGCTACTTCACCTGCTATCAGGTCAGTAGCTATCTGTGAGTGAAGGAATTCTTTAGTTTGCATGCAAGCATTTCTTGAATCAGTTGTGGATTAATATAAAGGCTGTTCTGCTTCACAGATTTCTCCTGAAAATGTGTAAGCAGTTAGGTAACAGCAGGTACAGTAGCTGGATCAGACCCAAGAATTGGACTGTCAGAGTGCTGCAAGGATGGATCCAACAGAGAAGAGGACAAGGTGGAAGCCATGTGAGTGCAGTGTGTGTGGAGGAGTCTGGGGCCATGGTTAAAGAAACACTAGGGCATTCCACAATCACAGTTGGAGAGCTGAATATGATTCTCACCCATCCCTGTTGTAGAACCAAAGAGTACAGGCGGCTGGGGACCAAAGTGGGCGAGTATGAAAGTATTTTTGGATTGCACGGGAAACCTGCCACACCAACAGCAGCAGCAGCATCGGGGTCTGGTACCGGGCTTTCCTAACCCACTCCCACTCTCAGGAGAGAAACGTTCCTTCAAAAGAAGAACCACGCTTCCGCTGCTTTTATATTTCTTAGTTTCGCTATGTTTCTTTCAATTGCCCAGCATTTGAATGTTGATGTAGTATATATAACTATGCAAAGCTCACCATGACAGAGAGAGAGAAGGGGAGAGAAAATAACGAACTTGGCAGCTGAGGCGAGTATCTTGTATTTATAGAAAGTCGTGTTTCCGGCAGAGGTTTCTGTGGTTTTAGCACTCCCAATCCATTTTTGCGGTGTCTTACAGGCCCTATTGTATCCAGGTTTAGATTGAAGATGTTCCCTCATCTAGCGCCTTGGGGGTACATTTGACTGTGAGACATGTCAGAATGTGATTTCAGGGAAGCAGATGGATTTCTCCAGCTCCTGTGCAACCTTATGTAGGATTGCTCCAAAAATCTGTTTTGCATCCACAAGCTTAAACAGGCATTAGTCAAAAGTACCACACTGCATTTTAGGCTGTATTTGCATATTGTTATTATATGGATGCAGTGCTTTGGCCTACCTTTTTTTTTTATGTATTTGTCTTATAGATTCAGTACAGTGCTTCTTGTATTACCTCCCAGATCAGGGTTTAAATGCTTTTTGCTTCACAGCAATGGCAGCCTCTGTATCTCAGTGGATTTCCTGGTATGGATCAGGTTCTTCTATTAT